TGGAAGGAGCTAGGGGAAAGGTTAGCATCAGAGGTGCTGAAGAAGATAAAAGAAACCGAGGGGGTTGGGGGAGAGAATGGGTAGAAATGAAAAACAATAACTTTACTTTACGCTTTATGACTTGCAAGATATTTTTTTTAAAAATAAAAAAGTAATATTGATAAATCAATATTACATTTTAGTTGAATGGAAAAATAAACAATTTGCACTTTCACATGTCCAAAGAAGTAAAATAAATATTTTAATGTTTATTAAATGGAAAAAATAGATTGTACAGCCTGCATTTTCACTTTGTACCCAATAAAAAGTTTACCTCAATAAAATAAATATTTATGTAAATCCTAGTCCAGCACCATTTTGTAGAACCAATCATATTGCCAAATTAATTATGCTCTTTAATTGCTACGTCAGATTTCCGGTAAGAAACTCTACAAGGGGTTAATTGGACAAGCAAGGTGAATATATTTATCAAATTGGCTTAAAAATTATAGCACACAAATTGGCAAACAGCTATAGTACACTTGCTTTTTGGTAATAACCCTAATATCTACCAGCCTTGCTTATAATTGCTGCAAACAAGATACAAAAGCATCATTCCAGATCCATCCTTTTCCAAAATGGTCAAAGCAAACAACTTCGCTGACATTTAGCAACCAAGTATGAGATGCCCCATGCAACATCATCTGTTTACTGACGTACTTCCCTTACAAACGTCCACAAATTAACAGTCACCTTTCTCAAACAAACAGATTTTATGAACAGTTCCAATCAAACACCAACCTATGTATTTGAAAGGACAAATCTTCCCTGAAAAATAGATCATTATAGTTGAAGATATATATCTGGAAAGAAAAAGGTCTATAGGGTATCTAATACATCTCTCAGTCTCTCTGTGGTCTCTACAGAAAGATTATTGGGAGATGGAGAGCACACTATATATCTTTCTAGAATGGAACCGTAATTGACTACAATCTGTGGATATTTTCCCTGATAATGACTCAATGTAAACTATCATGCAGGTTTCTTGGCCATTGGTTTCCAATGCCTATCATAATTATGCCACTTTCTAAAGCACAGCTGTTATAGAGTTCAACATCGTTTCTGAAATATAAAGCATGCATATTCCAACTGCATTTAAAGCTTATTCCTTAAGATATTATCGCCATCCAAAGTCTACAACATACTCGTTCCATATCGTGTACTTGCTAAAGTTAAGAAGATAAAGACACTATAATCGGTAGTGCAAATGAATAATAACAAGAATCATCAGAAGAGACACTTACATCAATCAGATGCCTTGGATTCAATGATCCATTACCATCAAATTTCCTCGTAAGCTGTAATTTTCCCGCTTTCCAAGCTGATATAGCATGGGTCTCAAGCTCTTCCTCAGTCAAGTTCGAACCATGATTCCCCAGCTGAAGTTTAATAGAATTAAGTACAATTTGCTATTGCAATAAAATTCAATTCATGTATAATGGATCATCTAATAAGAAAATCTGATCTAACAACCTGGAAAAGTATGAGGTTCCACTAACTGGCTATGTATCCCATCAGGGTTCATTTTGGAAAAAAATTACAAATGTATAACAAGACTCTGGAGAACTGAGTCATTTGTCAGTGTTGGCACTCAAAATTTCCATATTGAAAATTCAAGACCATTGCCTACTTGTTCAAGCATTCTGAAAAGAACGTAAAAGAACTGAAGAACCTCGTAAATAGAATCAGTTGGCTCAACGCTCATCAAATATATTAAAAAATGAATGGTCAAATTGCTGCTTTCATGATCTTTGACAAATATGGTTCTCCAGAAAAACACTCTCGTCTGTTTTGAAATTTTCTACATACTCTAGCAAAAGAACTTTATTGCATTTTTTAGCTCAAAATAGACTACTACTATACCAGGTTTACTGACCATCCCTTTTAAGTTTTAACTATTTTATATAACACAAACTTTACAGGAAAAGTAATAAAAAGCAAATTTGGTACATGCACTTTCACAGATGGAATACCGGTCGTACATGCACCTTTGAAGGACAAGCATCTTTTTACAGCATAGGCATATATCTGATGTGCCCATTAGTTTTACCGGAGAACCATTACAAAAATTAACAGTAACTGAATCTATTTCTATACCTCTCTAAGAATCAAGATGAAGTCTAACGGACTGAGTATTCCAACAAATCGACCAATGCCATGATCCCAAAGAGGGGCGACTGATATTCCCTGAGAATAAAGCCACATTAGAAAAATCACAATCTTATAGTAGGATATAACTGTCAGAATAACACATCACTGAGATAGTATCTGGAAAGCAAGTGAGTTTAATTAAATGAGGCTAAACTATATTATAAACCAGCAAAACCTGATATAGAACAGTATGTGACCACCCCACCCTAAGATCCCACAACATGAATGGCATTCTTTTACAAATTCCTATGTAGAGGACAACTTAAGAATATTCCACTCAAATCTCTACAATTGTGCAAGGTTTAGAAAGGCGAAAACACGAAGCAGGGCAGTTTCCTTTAATACCTAGACGCTTAAGCCTCCAGGTGAGCCGAGGTGTACCCCTCAAAGCCTCAACAACAAAACAAAATGGAAGTCATAAAATGCATAACAATCAACATCTGATTCCATATAAGACTATGAAAGTCGTAGAAGTCTTAAATTACTAGTTAAAAGTTTTAGAAACATAAAATAATTTATTCAATTTGTGTTTAGATGTGTTCATTTTAGTCTAATCATGGTCAAAGAAGGTGGTGTCTGTTTTGCGTTTAATGAGATAAAGCTTTGTCAGATGTGGGTTTTGTTTTTTTTTATAAATAAGCATCTGAATTAGTAAGTGGGCTCTTAGTAAGGTCGCAGCATCGAGGCATCTTCCCATTGGAAGGCTCGTTCTCTTTTCTTGTTATCGACGCCTCCAATCATTTCTCTGCTTCCAGCTTGAAGAGGCAATTTTCGTAACTTCTGGAGACAATATTGTGTTCAATTTCTTCACTTTTATGGTTCATAAATAGCCCAACCCAACCCGTGTTCACCCCTACATCACGCATCGGAGTGCATTATGCACGCATTTTTAAACCAAGTGCTTAATAAGTTGTATTTATGTACAATTTACTTGTGATCTTGAATTTTAAGTAATATGCATCAATAAGCAGTAGTTCATGTATAAAAGATGGTTTTTAAGAGTTTTTGTCAAATGCTTTATAATTAAGTATAGATGTATCGCTAAGCAAGGCCTTGTACAAGTAATACCAAACTAAAATAATGGACGAATGATTATCTCTTGGGAAAAGGAAGATAGCCTAGCCTATGGTTTAAAAGGTTATTCTATGGGACAGAGAAAGATTATGAATCAAGGTATAAGGCCAAATCATGAAATCAAACTTGAGTGAACTATATAGAGTGGTCCAAAATGTAAAAGTGAAATTACATCTCTACATAATCAATGTTAAAGAAGATTTTGAGTAAAGATTTGGATCAATAAGAAGTAATGTTCTACATAAGAACCCAAGATGATATCGGTTTAGCAACACGAGTCTTAACAATTGGGAGGCCAATGATGACAATATGTTGGGTATGATATATAGAGAAGCTTGAGAAAGAGATTAAAGTGACCAAGGCGAAATCCAAGGACGCTATTCGTACAAGGAGTAAGGGAACATCATATCTCAATATGTGGTTCTCACGTTATGTGGGTTTTAGAGAATGCACAACCTCTACAAATAACACATTTGTTTGCTAAAACATAATTTGATTGATACTACAATAAAAGAGTGAACATTTGTGACAAAGATAAATCCCTTATCAAATAAAGTCTTCAAATTGCTTTTGCACCTAGTTAAAATGTGACATGATCATAGTGTGATGCCTAGGGACATATGTAGTACAAACATGCCCTTTATAGCTACTCCTCTTTAAAATGCATCCCACAGCATCTATCTATTCAACACCTCGTCATCTATATTGCAATAGATCGCCTCATAGAACTAGACGCAACCAAAACATTACATAAGTAATCAGACTTTTGAAATAATAGATAGTTATTATGATAGAAATGAATGTGTGCTCATAAGACACTTCCAATGCCCAATAACTATCATTTCTCGAACACAATGGGTTCAAGGAACTTGTTGAGAAGGTAGGTCTTGACTACCCATCAAACACGAGAAAGGAAATGAGAAGGTATTAAATATTGAAGGTATGAATTGGACCCAAGCCATGAAACATTTACTTCTATATAATAGGCACAACTAAAAAAATTATATAGCCTATGTAAGTATCAATAACAATAATGCACGCAATGTTACCTGTTCATAGAGAATATGGAAAGCTTGCTTAACAGGTAGTGTGACATCCAAGGCAACAACCTACAGAAAGCAAGGGGTGAACCTCAAACAACTACGACAGTAGTATCAATGCCGAAATAACAAAACCTGAGGATCATTTAGATATCAAACCTTTCCAGATTCTGGAAGCAACTCATAAGCAGTATGTGTAGAAAGGAATACAGATATGCGATGGCGAGATAACTCTACGTCAGCCTCTAGCCTCTTTGGAACGACCTCCTGTAAAGTATCAAGTATCTGTAAAATAGAACTAACCCATCCATAATGTTGCTGAAGTCATATGAAGACAAGTAATTATAAAATTGAAGTTAGAGAGCAATGATATAAAAGTAATGCAACACTAAAAATGAAGTAACATGCATATAAGTATAAATACACACATACCTACAACAAAACAGGTAGACATATATATAGTAAACGACTAATAGTATAATATGCATTGAAGGTTGTGTGAGAACACAAACATAATTTCTTAAGAAGTAGACAGACATATTAAACAAAGAAATAGATAGCATGAACTAAAATGCATAATAGTAAGATTATTTTATGTATGTGAGTCCTTAAGCAGTAGAAGATGGTGCTTTTACAACAGAAATAATATCACACGCATACCATAAACAAATCAAAATGTTAATTTGCAAGATCAACTTTCTGACACCTTCTTCATACCTTGAGAACCTAAAACGTATGTCAGTGTTTTTAAAGAACATTAAAAAGATTGGCAGCCACAACAATCATGGAGCATGATACACTGGGTTACAGTACAAAACTAGCTAGGGAGAATCATCGTGCTTTCAATTATAAAAAGATCATCTTACTGAGTGATGAAATGGATCACTATCAATTTCCATACTGTCTCCACTAATGCTAGGAGTTCCAGAGGCTGGAAATCGAGGAACCATATCAGATGCTCTACCCACGAAGAGTGTGCTCAGAACAGCATCAAGGGCTATTGTCCATCAATTCACCACCTCCATGAACATAGAAAATGTACTGCACATAATTTACAACATATTTGAAATCCTTTAAACATCTATCATAGATTTGTGATAATGTATTACTACGTAACAAACATCTGTAGAGGTAAACAAAGCACTATACGAGCAATAAGAACAACAGGATATAAATAGGTCTGGCATCAAAAGGAGATCCCAAAAAGAAGACATGCTTTGTTTACAAACATCATCTTACATATACATATAGGCCTGAATTCCTAAAGAAGATATGTAACGGCTTACTAGAGAGTCAAACCTCAAACCTACCACCTTAACTATAAATCTTCATACAGAATTTCTTACGAAACACATCACCAGATTTTCCATATTTGTGATACTTGTGATAAATTTGAATGTGGTTGTCACATTTAATCAAACATTAAGAAATACTGAAAGTTACTTGTTTTGTGTCTCAAAGGTAATCAATGTGTTCTTTCTGAAAGAAAAGGCATGGTTGATACCTCTTTGCAAACTATAATGATGCACTTTGACGCTAATCAAACTGTCATTTTCTCTTACTTTTAAGTTGATGTCCATACTCTGATGTTTCAGAAAGAAAGAAAAAAGGCTAACGATATTAATCATTGCAACAACTATAACACACACACACACACACACACACGTAATAAAACCAGATCAATTTAGCATCCTAAAAGTTTTAACATCATAAATCAAAAACTCCATTTTACAAACGGATGGAGTAACACCATGTCGTTCAACTCGATTACCGAAACATACCCTTCAAAATTATGCTCATCCTTTAAACCCAATAGGATGCAATCATTTCAAAAAAAAACCTTGGATTTTTTCGACAGTTCTAAACCCCCAAAAATACCCTAAAAAATTATCCTCTGCTCCTCTATCCTTCTCAAAATTACAAACTTAAAACCAAAGTAGTGATAAAATTGAGACAGAATTAGAGACGAAAACGGGTTTTCTAACCAAAGATGAAAGCGCAGACGAGTGTATCCAATAATCAGGAAGAAAGTCGCAATTGTGTCTGGTTCACAGGATAGGGAAAGCAGGATTTTAAGCCGTATAATCTCCAACCATTTTATCTGCCTTGGCGATCCAAGAGTGAGAAAGAATGCATGAAAATTTTGAGGAAGATGGGGATTTGGAGTCAAGTGAGAGAGAGTTACCTGCTGATTGAATCAAGGGTAAGGGGGCAGAGGGGTTGGATGTAAAGATGGTTCGCTTTGTCAATTTAACCGTGCTGGATGATAACTACTCTCTTCATGACCTAATCAACACTTCGATCATTCATTTGTATTTCTTCTATTTTTATTTAATTAAATTAAATTAAATTATGAAAACAATATCATCAAGGAATAATACTCAGTTTGCATTTGGTTGGTTTGAATTCAATGAAATCTAAAAAAGTTGGAATACTTAATTTCATTGATCATGTTTGATTCATTCGTTTGGTTCATTCAGATGGTATTTGTTTTTTAACAGGTGTTGAAGTCTGAAGTCTTATTTCACTTTTGATTAATAAAAATGAATGCTGAAATTTTTAATTAATAGTTTGTTTTTATAAAATCGGGTGCAAACATTTTGCAAAATTCTCTTGATTTTCATAAAATGTTCATTGCCGAAATTCATCTCAACAATTACTTAACAGATGTAACACAGTAAGAATCTTTTGGATGTTTTTCAAACTTTCGATGCTATCGGGAATGCTGCCGGTGAGTTTGTTTGCGGAAAGGTCGTTACTTTTGATAGAGGATAGATCGTCGACAGAAGTTCTTGTTTCACATTAATCTTCTAAGTTAACCTATACATACAGAAATTATATATATGTATATGTATGTATATATATACATATATATATATATATATAGAGAGAGAGAGAGAGAGAAGGTGAGGGCGTTTATTTCACATGGGTGATGAAAAGATGGTGGCGTCCCTGGTGGAAAAAGAAGCAATAGGCAAAAAGAATCAAAGAAAAAAGAAAATAAGAGGAATTAAGATATTAATTTACCTCATATTTATTCAGACCCTATTAAAATGATAAGAGACTCTGAAAATAAATAAAAAACAAGCAGTCTAAATTACAAAATGTTTGAATGAATCAAATATAAGTGGTAATAAGAGTTGAAAATAGAAAAACAAACAAAGCCTTAGTATTGTGATGAAATTTAAATTCCCTTAGGCTTTGATGAGGAATCCAAGTCCATTTCTTCCGAACTTCTGAAAAATATTATTATACTTTTATATTTACTCTAATATATTCTATTCCAGGATGACTATTTTTACCATCGGTACCATCACGGTCGTCCCATGGCAACAAGAATTACAACCTTTTTGTTTATGGGTAGGCTTCGTTTTGGGCATAGAAAAAGTTTTTTGTTTTCTACATTGCCTCTCAATCTGACTTCTGAACTAGGGTGTGCAAAACCCGAATGGGCCGAAATCCGAACTTAATACCGAACAAAAAACAAGGTGTATGGGAAAAACCTGAATACCTCGAAATTAGAAAATCCAAAACCCGACTTTTGGGAAGATATTTGGGTTTGGGTTGTGTTCGATCTTTGGCCATTCGACCCATCCGAAAAACCCACACACACATATATATATGAATATTAATATAGTTATATTTATTTATTTATCTAATTATCTTTTGAAAATCTTAAATTATAGTCGGTTTAAATCTTTTGTAATTTCTAAAATTACTATCGATTCCATCAACCCTCTCAATCGATAAGATTCATCCTCAAGATGGATTGAATATATATATTTTCTTCATTATCACTACACCCGAACCCGACCAACCTCAACTCGAAAACCGAACTCGAAGCAATCTGAAATTTAAAACCTAAAATTTGGGTCTTGGTTTCCATATCCGATATCCAATCGGATTTTGGGTTTACCAGCCCGATCCACACCCCTAATCTGAATGATTCCAATATATCCACTCTGCCCTACACCCCAAACACACTCTCTCTCTCTCTCTCTCTCTCTCTCTCTCTCTCTTTCTCTGTGTGTGTAATTAGTTTGTGATAACTAATTAGTTTGTGATAACTATGAGATCTAATCTCAACCACAAATCAATGGATAAATTAGAAAACTAATATTTTTGACAATTTGACTTAAATTTTTAATTAAATGACATTTTTAGGTATTTAACTTTTTTATCTCTCTCTTGTCTCTATCTCTTGCTTCCGGCCTCCGGTAAACCTTATTTCTGAGAACACCAAGTGATACCCAAAATACACCAAGATACACAATCTAATACACAAATTATACACAATGTGATATCCAAAACACACGAAGTAAACTTCGAGACCACTATGATACCAACTGTGGTACCATTGTGATACCAACTGTAGTATCACTATGATACCTACGTTGTGTGTGTGTATGTATGTGGAAAGTCATTCAAGGGAGAATTAGATACTACTGTGATACACACCATGAGCAATGTGCAGGGTCGGCCCTGAGATTTTGGATGCTCACGGCGGAAAGTCAAAAAAAATGCCCCTTATAGTGAAAAAAATTCAATCACAAGTATATATGAGAATATTTTTAACTTTAAAACAACATGAATAATTGGTATTCATTATTCACAAATGAATTCTATGCAGATATATGGTTATCAAGATGCCAATTATTGATAACAACATAGTTTTAACTATTTATAGGTTTTTAGATAAGGCTTGAAACATAAATAGTTAAGAACAAGAATATGAGAAAGAGACTTTAAGAAATGAGCCTCATGCATGGAATTGTCTTTAGTTGTAGAGTTTGACCAAGTGCAAGTGATTCAGGCATCACATATATCCCAATAGCATCAAGGTGTGTGCTAACACGTCCATGAAATCCACCCCATGGTCCATGACTTATGCATCCTTCATAATTGGTTTTAAACCATCCAAAAGAATAAGAACACATAAATCGGTACCATCCTATATATTCTTCAAATAAAACACAACAAAAGATATAACTAAAACCTTACCATGAGGCTATTGAGATCTCAATTTAGAATGTTGCCAAACTTTCAACAGTATCAACTACCAGCAACAATCAGCCCCAATGTATCTAAGCCATAAGGAAACACTACAAGATATCATACATAAATAATTGATGCAACTTGATCGTCGTGTAACAAAATCATGATAAACAACTGTGCAAAACTTTTGTATAGTGCTGATTCAGGTATGCATCAAATTAAGTGTATAACAGCAAACCCATAAAGAACGAAAGACATTCTACATAAGAACAATAGAAACACAATAAAATCATGTCACTCATCCAATTTTAACATTTGATCACACCCCTATCTCCAAAAACAGTCAAATGGGCTTATACAAATTCATGATGGTAATTCAGACTCGCATTGTTTAAAGAAGCAAAATGGAGCAACTTCTTTACCTCCACAACGCCATTACTGTCCATGGAAGAAGAAACCTGATACACCATTTTTAGGCCAATTTTCTCCCTAAAACCCCCAAAACTCGATATTATTTGAAGGCTAAACAAATGAGTGGCCGAGATTCTTCTAAGGTTACGCCAATACTCACCGTAAGGAGCAAAACCCATGGCACGGTGAAACAAAAGCTCATACGCCGACTCCTTCACTGGGCGGTCGGCAAATGCAAAGCTGTTGAGTAAATGACAAACCACAAAGGACCAATTTCACATATTCATTATTAGGTTTTGCAATCAAACAAGAATTAGAAACTTAAAAAATAAAATAAGTAATAACCCTAAGTGGCTAAGTCCCTAACCTCACAAGTGTCAAGGGCGAGTGAGAGCGAGTCGATAGAGGCAGAGAGCGAGCGAGAGCGAGTCGCAGACGGCAGAAAGACGGAGTCACACAGACGACCGAGAGAGGCAGAGAGCGAGATTGTGTCAACTGTCAAGGAAAGGCAAGGCTGATTGCGATTGTCCATAAGTGAGTAAGGCGAGACTGCGAGAGCGAGCGAGTGAGCCGTGAGGGAGGATGATGGACCGTGAACGAATTGCAATGGACGCACGGTAATGGTAAGAAATTTAGCCCAAATGAAAACTGAACCTATATATATACATTGGGCTTTAAATTTTTGATGCCCTTGGGCTTTATGCTACCCTGAGCCATCGCCCCTTGGGCCTATGGCCAGGGCCGGCCCTGGCAATGTGATACCTAAAATAAGGTAATTAATCTAATTACAGTAATTAATAAACTAATCAATCTAATCAAAGTAAATTGGAATAGTAAACTGATTAAAGTAAATTGAATAATCAATCCAAATTACTAATTTACCCTTCTATTTTATTTTAAGAAAAATATTAATTATCTTAAATGATTGGCTCATATTGGATATAACAATTACCACAAACTAATTAGTTCTCATTTGATTAAGCCCATACATACATACATTCATGCATACATACATACATACATACATTCATGCATACATACATACACACATACATACATACATACATACATACATACATACATACATACATCCATACATACATTCATTCAT